CTTCGGTGAGTAACTGTCAACAGATGAACAACGAAATTCACTAGCTTTTATTTACAAGTGCTGCTATCTTCACGTTGAGGTCGGAAACTTTTCAGACCACCCTCGTATGTGATGCTGCAATTTATTTTAAGGTAATGCAATCCGCTATGTACCTCATTGTCTTTTTCTCCATGAAATAGAGAAAATAGTAGGGATGAAACGAAACTTGATTTTTAAGTTCTCGAAACTTGAATTCAAATGTGTCTCGAAACTCAAAACTTCAAACTATCCAAACCTGAAATATTAATTACAAAAAGAGTAGGTAATTGTGCATAAAACAAGCTCCTGCATAATTATATTTCTTATTAAAAAAAGCAATCTTCCAACACTTAAAAAAGATAAATATGATTATTTCTGTTGGTGAAAAATTTTATTAATTTTATCAACATTTTAATGCACAATTATCAAAAATAGTATTTTTATAACTAAGAACAACTTGAAACAATTCTCAATAATCAATAATAGTAATTATCAATAATAGTATTTTTATAACTAAGAACAACTTGAAACAATTCTCAAAATTATAATTTAAAAAGAAAGAGAGGCCAACGCTTTATATCTTTGATCGTAATCAGCGCATCGTTATCATCGTGATCGGACGAGCCTCCGTGAACGATCGGGTATCGGACAGCGTGATATTACAAAGATCAAGGACATCCTATCGTGGGACTTGCATTGAAAGTATATAATTAATGAGTAGCAGTAATTTGTGCGATTATCGAAGAAGCTTACAGGAGTAATATTACCGCAACTGGAGTAATATAAAAAAAAGTAAAGTCGTTTACAATTTCACGCCTCGTATTCGCAAGTTCTCTCACCCTCCTCTTTGTTTCTTGTTTCGCGTTTGGCCGACCATATAAATTATATCCTACCATTCTAACTGTGCAACCGGTGAGGACTCTCTTAATACTGAAGAGGCGAAAATAGTATTGCGCGTGCTCCCGCGTGCTCCCGCGTGCGACGCCTACGTCAATCAATATCTAGACGTGGTAGATATCTACCAAGTCAGTATCTAGTGCCTGTACTTTGTACTATTATTATAGAAATATCTACCTATTTCCATTTTTATTTGTGTGTAAAAGGTATAGATATATAGAGGGTCTTAATAGGAGTACATTGTCTTCTATCTTCCCCTGTCATGCATGATATATGCACCCTCCATATGTAGTTTTTTTATTACTATTTGCTTATCTGTAACTCCGCGTTTTCACGGTAGTTTCGACATAAAAAGTTCATCTCAGACGTTGCAGTATTTCACGTTTGTCAAGGAAAGTCTTTGTTAAAATAACGGATAAAAATATTCTACTATCGCTTGCCGTATTGTAGCCTTTTTTCTCGTTTTATCAATTCCCTTCTCGCAGTCTTGTTAGTAATCTTCGATACGTTCGCTAATTAACATGACTACATTGTTTGATACACGTTACTATTACTTAACAAAATTATGTTGCTCGATAACTGGCTTATGGCCATTTCAATCGCAGTTTAAGAGCAGAATTCTTCAGTCGTTCAATCTGCTTATAATACTCTTATTTATTCCACCACAGGTAAAGATTGTGTAATTTGCAATAAGTCCGATAAAAATTTATGCAGGCAATAAAATGTCAACATCTTTTCTGCAAAAAGTTTTTTTTTTCTTTGTCCAAAGATGTTACATTCGGTACACTCACACGTACGCACGCAAGTAAAATGATTTTGTATGGTATTGAAATGTTATTTGCATAATATAAAAGTATATTATAAATATGGGTGTCATTCATCAAGATCGTCAGAAGTCATTGAAAGTAAAAACGTTTGTCCGAACGATCAGGTAAAACATCCAACAACAAGGCGTTGTTACGGCAAGTCAGCGACAAACGCCACACTAACAATTCTTGCGTGTCATTTATAAATAAAAAAATATTTATAATAAACAGCACTTGAAATCGCTGAAGTACACTTGTAAAAAGTTCCGAGTTCTCACTTTTTCTGTGGATAAACAACTTTTCTGTGCAAAACTGTGAAATGAGCCGTGAAATGAGGCCTATTCACGCAAGAAAGCGCGTGAGTTAGACAAAGACGGATAATCCCTCCTTGTCTCACTAAAAGCAAACTGACAGGCGTGAGTCAGTCACTGAATAGCCTTTCGACGTCTTGCGACACTTTTATGGCATGGTTAACTTCAAGATAATTGAATTAAAAGTTAATAGTTACTAATAGTTAGATAATTGAAGTAAAAGTTAATAGATGAAATGTAATTAAGTTAAGTTAAAAGTTAAGAATGTAAAAATGTAACTAAGTTAAGTTAAAGCTATTTAACTTTTTAACTTTTTAACTTAACTTTTAACTTTTTAACTAGTTACTATCCAACCCTGCATTTAGATATATTTACATACAACATACACACACACACACACAAACTTGTGTGCGAAACGTCTAGTATATTTCATTTAATCGTGCGCCTGTCAATATCAATTATGGATAAAATTGTACCAATATACATAAATTTTGTCACTTGTCTTTTCGATTCAGCTGAAAGGATTGTATGATGTGTACGGTAAAGATATAGACGGTGTGATCATGTGTATATCACCACTCTTTACCATTATATTGCTCCTAATCAAAACCGGCATTATCATTCGATTCAAATCAGAGGTATCAATTGCATTATTTCTTTCGCGGATTTAATCATCCAATATGCCAAGACATATTAAGATTATTAAGTATATCATGTTTTTTTTAACACCAGATCAAGTCGTTATTATCTCAAATTGAAACGGAGTGGGAAAGAACTTCGAGAAGTGAAGAGCATAAGATTGTAATAGCTTATGCGTCAAGGACGAGAGTATTTTGCATCATATACACAGGTATAATAAATGTCGTTTGCCTTACCGAATACATATAACGTTACTTCTATTCTTTCAGTAATGTTGTCTAACGTAGTTTTATGCGTTGTCTTATCGCCGACGATCTCGCCACTGTTGGACATTATTTTACCCAAAAACGAAACGCGCGTAAGATATTTAGCCTTCGAATTGAATTACGGAATTGACTTACAGACTTATTGGTTCTGGCTGTGGTTGCACGTTTGTTTAACTGCAGTGTTTGTTATGTTAAATTACACTGCCGCAGATATAATGTATGTTACGTTGATGTTGCATGGTTGCTACATGTTTGCCATTGTAAGGTTAGTCTCTACTCTATTCTCTCTCTATTTCTCTCCCTCTCTCTTTCTCTTTCTCTCTCTCTCCCTTTATCTCTTTCACAAATCCAAATATATATACCCGTGCAGTCACGCACTTTTCCCACCACTAAATAAGTTTATAGTAATATAATAATTTATGGAAATGTCTATCTGGAATATTAGGATCCCGGACGATTAAAATAAACTTTTAAGAGCACTCGCGGAATAAATATTTATTTCTTTAAAATATTTGTAATATAGAAGACTTCACGCGATAGAATAATATCATAATTCCAATATGCAGATATAGATTGGAACAGTTGACCCATTCAATAAAAAAAAATACAATACAACCTTTCGAGAATCGTGATTATAACACGATGCGCACCTGGCAATGCAAAGAGCGGCAAGTGGAATTACAAAAGCAAGTTGCTGCCATGAAACAATGCGTTCTTAGACATGAGAAAGCAATAAAGTTAGTAAATGGATTTATATGACATATTCGTACATTTTTTAGTACAGTAATATATGCGCGTATACACACACATATAAGAATGCATCTCATTTTAATTAATACATTCGAATATCTCGGATATTAAGGAAGACACGAAAAATTATTTCAAAAGTTGTAGGATTTTGAGAGGCAAACAGATAGTGACCTTTATATCACTCTGCAAAACTCTTAATCTTAATTATTTAATGAAATTATTTAATTTTTTATTAATTAGATGCGCACAGGTATTATACCACATTTTCGCGTGGAGTCTCTTCGCTGGTGCATCAATAAACGTAATCATGATAAGTATTTCGGCAGTTCAGGTAAGTTTGGACGGGAAAGAGAATCTTACGCGTGGATATTTGACTTCCTCAGTTTTTATTCAGTTAGTGAGCAAATTGTCTCAATGGGGTCAGATGGCGATAGCTTGCGTATTCGTAGCTGGCGAATTGGTGCACATATTCTTTCTCAGTTTAATGGCGCAATATATATTGGACCACAGTGTGGACGTTCACGAATCGGCGTGAGTGAATGAATACGTGCTTGTCGATCGCAGTTGCTGCGTTTATATGTGTATGGGATTAAAAACGACAGTTTTGTAGGTTTTCATGCTCTTGGTACAATATGTCTGTCAAGGTACAAAAGGATATTATATTGATCTTAATGAGGAGCCGTTTACCATGCAAAATGATGGCTGGAAAATATTTCGTAATGTCATTGGAAAGCTTTTGCGCGGTATGAATACTCAAAACGTATTTATTTGTTATCAGTGTTACATTTAATTAATATATATTGTAAATTCTCTTGTTTTAGATAGTACAAACATCGATGTCGTATTTTACAATGTTGGCCTCTTTTCGATAAATGTCCGCATATACTTTTTGTTGATACGATTGACATCTCATTTCTTTAGAATGAAAATAAGAATGATATTTATCAATAATTTATAACATATTTATGCGGTATTTTGAAAAATTTCCAATTGCTTAATGCTCACGGAATACGTTTATAGTCATCACAATAAAGTATCGTTTGTTATCAGCAATCTTTATTTGTGATGCCTTTCGGGAGAATCAAACAGTAACGGCATGCAAGAATAAAATCTTCCTTTGCTATAAAAACTTTTATGTTATTTGCCTTGTCGATTTCTCGGGACGGGCAGTTTTCTCAACGCATCGAAGACAAGACGAAAATAATTTCGTTGGGAAATGAACTATAAAAAAACTATTCTAATTATATTTCGTTGAGGGACGAAGTATAAAAAAAAATTTATTCTTAGTTGCTTTTCTATTTGTCTTATTTGATATCATGATTTCTTTCTTTTTATATACGAAAAAGACATATCGATTTACCTTCAAATGTAGACAACCCGAAATCACATTGTTCGTGTGGCTTTCACCCCATGCTGGCCATTTAAAAAGGACGATTAGTTATAATTATTTTTAAGAGAGAATTTCGCACGATATGATTATATGCAACAATATTATTCCAGGAACAAATTTTTTTTCTGTCGCGTGTCGGTTGGCTCGACCAGCTTAAGATATGGAAAGTGTTGCTCTACACTGAGAAAAATTTTTGGTAATAATTATCCAGCCTGTGTTATAGTTACTACATTTAGTGAAATAGTATCAACTAAATATAAAAAGTGAATATTATTATAAAAAAGTTAATGTTATTAACAACTTTGTAATTATTAACAAACATTTGATAACATTTACCATATTGGTTACTATTTACCAAAGGGTATGATAAAACGCATTTGGTAAGTATTAGCAAACTTTTTTTTCCATATTTCTTGATAACCGCAGAATTCTTCCATATCATATTTCAAGTAATATCCTAATAAGTCAATTGCGCAATCACGTAATAATAAATAATAGTAGTATTAGGTGTTAATCAACTAAAATTTTCTTTAATTAAAATAATTAGCAAATCAATAATCAAAATTGATCAATCGTCATATGCAAAATCACAAGTAATTTCACTGATTGACAAAGTTAATTATTAATCTAGATAGCACAGAGCATTCAAAAAAGAGTCAGTCGTATGACTCTAATTCTGAGTTTACTTTTAGATGCAAAAAGAATTTTTTTCATTAAACTGAACTCTGAAGAATTCTTTTTGCATCTAAAAATTAACTCAGAATTGGTGACATACAACAGAATTTTTTTTGAATTTTATTTGAATTCTCTGTGCTATCTGCGAATTCAACTTTGATGTAATTAATTATATATATCGTCAATACCGAATTAATCAATACCGTCGATAACTCGTAGATACGTTTATTGCATGACACTTACAATAATATAAATTTATTCTTACATTTTTGTTATTTACCGTCGATGTCAGTATTATCTATAGCAATAAAAAAAGATTTGATTTTTAGGGAAAGATGCGCCAACTGAAAAAGTTGTTTTTTCGTTTCATAGGAATAAAATAATATTGCTTAGCAACAATGTAAAGTAAGGGAAACATGAAAAAATTCTCAAACTTACAATTTAAAAAAAAAGAGAGACCAACACTTTATATCTTTGTCGAAATCAGCGGCGCGTCGGCTGTTATCGCCGTGAACGGACGAGCCTCCGTGCTCGGTTGACAAAGTGATATTAGAAAGATATTAGAAGATCAAGAACACCCTATCGTGGGACTTGCACTGAAAGTATATAACTAACGAGCAGCAATAATCTGTGCGAGCATCGAGGAAGCTTACACAGCAGCCGGAGTAATATAAAAGAAAAGACATAGGATGTTTTCCATTTAATAACACAAGTCGACACAAGCATCATGCTATTTTAGTTACTCATTGAATATGGAATAAGGACAGAATGATGCTTATGTCGACTTTGTTGTGATATTAAATGGAAAGCATAGTAAAGTCGTTGTTTATAATTCCACGCTTCATATTTGTCAATTATCCCACCTACCTCTTTATTTTCTATCGCCGACCGATAAATTACACTCTACCATTCTAACTGTGCAGCCGGTGAGAACTCCCTTGATACTGAGGAGGCGAAAATAGTACTGCGCAGGCTCTTGCGTGCTGGACGTTCACGTCGATCACAATATCTAGAGTCTGTACTTTGTATTATTATTATAGAAATATCTACTTATTTCTAATTTTATTCGCGTATAAAAAATATGAATGCATGGAGAGTCTCAATAATGATACGTTATATCCTATCTTCCCCTATTATGCATGATATATGTACCCTCCATGGGTAATTTTTTATTATTATTTGCTTATTATTGCTGTGATCCCGCGTTTTCACGGCTTGTTTGAACATGCAAAGTTCACATCTTAAACGCTGCAATGTTTCACGTTTGTAAAAGACAGTCTTTGTTAAAATAACGGATAAAAATATTTTACTATCGCGTGCCGCATTGTAACCTTTTTTCACGGCTTACCAATTCCTCTCTCGCAGTCCTGTTAGAAATTTTCGATACGTTCGCTAATTAACATGACTACGTTGTTCAATACGCGTTACTATTACGTAATGAAACTATCTTGCTCGATGGCTGGCTTATGGCCATTTCAATCGCAGTTTAAGAACAGAATTCTTCAGTCGTTTCATCTGTTCATATTGTTCTCATTTTTTCCACCACAGGTAAAGATTGCGCGTATTTTTTCTTATTGGAAGAATATAAATTTTTCTACGTGGTGTTCTTTCTATATCCGTCGTTTAAACACACGTATGTGAAAAATATTGAAGTATATTTAGATATATTTACAAAAACACACGCGAAATGTCTAGTATATTTCATTCAATTGTCCGTATATCAATATTAATTATGGATAACATTATATTAATATACATAAATTTTATCATTTGTCTTTTCGATTCAGCTGAGAAGATTGTATGATATATATGGTAAGGATATAGACGGTGTAATCATGTGTATATCACCACTCTTTACCATTGTATTGATGCTAATCAAAGTCGGGATTATTATTCGATTCCAATCAAAGGTATTAGCTGTATTATTTCTCATTATATCTTTTGCGGATTTAATCGCCCAATACGCCAGGAAATATTACATTTCAAGTATATCACATTTTTTTAAAAACATCAGATCAAATCGTTGTTATGTCAGATTGAAACGGAGTGGGAAAGAACTTCGAGAAGTGAAGAGAATAAGGTTGTAACAACTTACGCGTCGAAAACGAGAGAATTTTGCATGATATACGCAGGTATAGTAATTGTCATTAGACTTACCGAATACATATAACGTTACTTCTATTTTTTCAGTAATTATGAGTAATGTACTTATATGCTTCATCATATCGCCGACGATCTTGCCAATATTGGATATTATTTTACCCAAAAACGAAACGCGCATGAGATATTTAGCCTTCGAATTGAATTACGGAATTGACCTACAGACTTATTGGTTCTGGCTATGGTTGCACACTAGTTTAGCTGGAGTAGTTGTTATAATAAATGTTATTGCCACAGATACAACGTATATTACGTTGATATTGCATTGCTGCTACATGTTTGCCATTGTAAGGTTAGTCCCTACACATTCTCTCTCTTTCTCTCCCTCTTTTTCTTTCACAAATAAAAATACAAATACAAATACATACACTCGTTCACTCAGTCGCTCACCTTTTCCCACCACCAAATAACTTTATCGTAATACAATATAGGAATGTCTATCTGCGATATTTGGACCTCAAACGATTAAAATATATCTTTAAGAGCACTCGCAAAATGAAAATTTATTTCTTTAAAATATATGTAACGTGGAAGATTTTAGGCGCCATGATAATATCATAATTCCAATATACAGATATAGATTGGAACAGTTGGACGATTCAGTAAAACAAGATACAATACAACCTTTCGAGAATTGTGATTATAACACGGTGGACACCTGGAAATATAAAGAGCAGCAAGGGAAATTACAAGAGCAAGCTACTGCCATAAAACAATGTGTTCTTAGACATAAAAAAGCAATAGAGTTAGTATATGGATTTATACGACATATTCGTACATTTTTTAGTGCAGTAATAAATACGCGTATACACACACATACACACAGAGAGTGTTTCTGTTTTAATTAATATACTTGAATATCTCGGACATTGAGAAAGATACGAAAAATTATCTCAAAAGTTATAAGATTTCGAGAAGCAAAAGGATAGTAAGCTTTATTGATCCTGAAAAGTTCTTAATTTAAATTATTTAATGAAACTGTTTAATCTTTTTAGTATAAATCGATATCTGCAATTATTTTGCGTATAAAAATACTGGAATAAAATCGTCAAATAGCGAACATTTTCCGAGATATTTTATTCTCATACTGTTTAACATAAGATATAAAATATTTCGTAAACTATTCACTTTTCGACAAGTATACCTAAATACTTTTTTACGTAGAATAATGGGAAAATTGGTTGTTTATAAGAAAAACATAGTGAAATCCTAAAGAAAATTTCGTTGAATTCTGCAGATTTATTGTTTAAAAAATGGTAGAAGATTTTTTCGTTCAGACTGATGTGTTCTACTTGCATATCGCGGCTCCGTCGTCAGTTACAGGACGCCCTGTATATATGTGTAGAAGTGTATATGTAGTGTGTATAATATAACCTTGATAGAATTATAAAGAATATTCACGCTATCATACTGTCATTCATACAATTGTTTTAAAATCGTTCAGATATCTTGTATATCATCCTTATTAATTAGATGCGCGCAAATATTATACCACATTTTCGCGTGGAGTCTCTTCGCTGGTGCATCAATAAACGTAATCATGATAAGTATTTCGGCAGTTCAGGTGAGTTCGAGCGGGAAAGAGAATCTTATTCGTAGATTTTTTACTTTCTCTGTTTTTATTCAGTTAGTGAGCAAGTTGTCTCAATGGGCTCAGATGACGATGGCTTGCACGTACATAAGTAGCGAATTGGTACACATATTCTTTCTCAATTTAATGGCGCAATATATATTGGATCACAGTGCGGACGTTCACGAATCGGCGTGAGTGAATGAATACGTGCTTGTCGACCGTAGATGCTGCGTTTATATGTGTATGGAATGTTTTAAAAACGACAGTTTTGTAGGTATTCATGCTCTTGGTACAAAATGTCTGTTAAGGTACAAAAGGACATTATACTGATGTTAATGAGGAGCCGTATACCATGCAAAATGATGGCTGGAAACTTTTTTATCATGTCACTGGAAAGCTTTTCTACGGTAAAAATGCTCAAAATGTATTTATTTGTTATTATGTAACATTTAAATAATATATATTGAAAATTCTCTTGTTTTAGATAGTGCAGACATCGATGTCGTACTTCACGGTGTTAGCCTCTTTTCGATAAATATCTGCATATACTTTCTGCTGATACGATTAATGTCTTATTTCTTTAGAGTGAAAATAAGAGTAATATTTATCAATAAAATATTTATCCATGTTATTTGTATATATATATTATATATAGATTAATTGCTTTCTATACTTAGCATACTTAGCAGTTTCATCATTTTGTAAGGGATAGAATTAAACGTATAATAAATGCATAACATATAACAGATGCTAAACTAAAATTGAATACATCATATAGTAAAAACTTTTATTTCGTCACTAACATTCGAATTATAGACATGCTCTTGTTATTAATTTTCACCCATTTATTTGATGGCTATTAAAAGGAGGGAAAAACATGTTTGTCATTAATATTCGGAAAAAAAGCGGGCAAATTTTACATTAGGCACTAACATGCGACATTTTGACTGACATACCCGAATTTTGACGACTCTCTCGAGGGTATAAAGCACTTACTGCACCGTATCAAGGTAGCTACTAGACTGAGGAAAACTTTTGTCAAAACCCGCTAGGTGACGCAATTCTAACGGAGTTAGAAGGGATAGTTCTTAAAACATATCATATATGTTCAAGAATAATGATAGTTTAGTTAAATATATCTTGTCCAAGCGATGGATATATGCGTGTTCGAATATAAGCAAGGGCTACATTGTCCAACCTCCTTATTGATTGCATCAAGTTTATTGTGCTCTAGCGTTGTCAGAGACAATCCGAAGGATTCGCATACGTGCTCGGGTGAACATGAATAAAGTGTTTGATACACGTTACTATTACTTAACGAAATTATTTTGTTCAATGGTCGGTTTATGGCCGTATCAGGCGCAAAACAAGAAAAGGGTTATCCGGTCATGCAGCATTTTTATATTAATTTCATTCCTTCCACCTCAGGTAAATATGGTATCCATTTCTATGTCGCGGTCACGAAACATAGAAACATTGGTAAGACAGAAAATTGATTGCGTATAGAATATCGTAAATGATAAACAATTCGCAAATTGATTAGATGCATTTAAAGAAATAAAAAAAAGGGCATCAAAGCAAATGTTGATGTTTTAAAAGTAATGACAATGATTTAAATGTTGAGAAATTATTTAATCGACCGTTTCGAAATTATACCATTAATTTTTCATTACAACATCACCATTTGCTTTTGTTTGCCTTACTTTCTTTCTTTGATTAGACACGTCAAAAACTTCAACATCTTTTGTTATTTAAAAGATTATCAGATATGAAACTTTTGTAACGTTGCGGTGGCGAACTATAGAGAGTCGTGTCACTATAATTATAGACTAGAATGATGTAATTTCGGTATAGATGATTCTAAATTATGGTATGAGGTAAAAGGTACACAAAGTTGATAATTGTTCTATTGTTCGTCTATTCAATATAGTTAAAGAGATTGCATCAAGTTTGGGGGAAAGACATGGACACGGTGTGCATGTGTATGCCGCCGATCTTTACCGCCTTTTTGTGCTTGTCGAAAATCTTGACTTTTACGTTTTTTAAGACAGAGGTATTGATCGCATTGTTAGTATTTTGCACATGATAAGTCGATATCTTCAAACTATTATCGATGCAGCACACAGCACAATAAATACGCGTACATTATAATCCAAGTACATTATACGCTTTCTCAAAAATCACCAGATGAAAGTGCTGCTGCGACAAATTAAAACAGAATGGAAGAGGACGTTGAGTGAGGAGGAAAGTAAAATTCTAGAGATGTATGCGTCAAAATCGAGGATATTATGCATCGCGTACGCAAGTACGGTAAATGTCGTCATGCGTCGCAAGCGTGTATGACGTTATTCCTATTCTTTCAGCTGTAATGTGTAATGGACTCATGTGTTTTATTTTGGCACCGACGATCTCGCCAATGCTGGACATTGTGTTACCTCGCAACGAGACGCGTGTGAGAAGTTTAGCCTTTGAACTTGATTATGGAATTGATATGCAAACCTATTGGTTTTGGCTATGGTTACACACGAGTGTGGCAGGTGTGCTGGTTATATTTAATAGCATCGCTGCGGATATTACGTTCATTACATTCACCATTCATGTGTGTTACTTATTTGCGATAGTAAAGTAAGTACCTTTTACACACGTTGCACAATTCTATTGGAACGTAATTAATTAAACACTTTGCACAGAAATTTTTATATTTGAATACTGAAAAGTTTGCATTTTTTATCGATTTAAGATTACGAAATGATTTTTTTATTTTCTTAAAAATAAACTAAAATATTTTTATATTTATACGTGTGTATGTGTGTGTGTGTGTGTGTGTGTGTTTGTGTATTTGTACGCAACATAATATAATTATTTGTAATATAATAATACTAACAATACTTTATATTCATGCGTAGAGAGAGAGGATAAGATCACAATTCAATTTACAGGCATAAATTAGAACATATAACCGATTCAATTACAGAACGTACTGCACAATCTTTTGAGAATTGTGATCATAATAATGTGTATAATATCTACCGATATAAAGAACAGCGATCAACATTAGACAAGCAAGCCATTTACAGAGAATGTGTCGTCAGTCACAAAAAAGCAATCAAGTTGGTATATGTATTAATATATATAATATTTTCTATACAGCAAATAATATTTATAAAGTTATAGTCAAAGTCTGAAGCGAAGACGTTTCTAGAATTGACTGGTTAATGTGTGGAACAACCAAGAGTTTCCGTTAAAACCAGAAATAGTTTTATATTTTGGTTTTTGAATGATATCTTTTTAATTAATTCTAGAAGTGACTAACATGATTGGTCAAAGTTAGAAGCTAAAAAATACAAATGTGTTATAACAAAAAACATTAAAAGTATATCTTTGGTGATGTGGGTGACTTCACTCCTCAGGCTGCTAAATATCTAACCTAACCATACCCTACAGTATAGTGTTGGTTGTTAAAAAATATACATTTATGGACATACATTTTAACAATCGACGTTCTCATAATGCTGTAGGATAGAATTAGATTAGATTAGATTAGGATAGAATTAGATTAGATTTTTAGCGGGCAAAGCCTTCCACCCTACCAAAAATATATTTTTGAGACTTGTTAAATATATACGATATATCGAAGAATTACATTGTATTTTAAAATTTCTTTTGTTAATAACTTTTTAATAAACAACGAACGACAGCTAAGAACTGTAGAAGATTACTCAGGACGATAATTTTTATAATATCTTTACTATATAAGAACACGATCATTGAAGGTGTCTTTCCTAAACAGGAGTTTCACCGTGATTTTTTTAGTTTCTAGCTTTAAGCAATCATATTAGTCATTGCTAGGATTTACTAAAAACACCAGTTAACAGCCAAAACACAAAACTATTTCGAGCCTTGACCAAAACACGTTTGGTATTATATTCATAAATATATTTCTACAGTATTACATATTGTATGTGATCGTTTTTAAATACACGAGACATCTTGTATAACTTCTTGATTAATTAGATGCGCACAACTAGTACACAACATTTATATGGGGAGTCTTTTCGTTGGAGCAGGATTAAATGTAATTACCATAAGTATTACGGCAGTCCAAGTAAGTATACATACGAATGAAAAAGAGTTTCACTTTGGTGCACACACTTCACTTTCCTTTTTCATTTAGTTAGTAAGCAAAATGTTTCGATGGACCGAAATGATGATGTCTGCTGCGTTTTTATTGGCAGTAATGTTGAACATGTTCTTTCTTAGTTTGATAGCGCAATATATACTGGATCACAGTTTAAGCATTCACGAATCGGCGTAAGTTTTCAAGCGTTATTCATGATTGCAGATATAGTTTGTATATGTCAAATGTACTAAAAACAACAAGTTTTTTAGATACTCGGGCGCTTGGTATAACATACCTGTCGAAAGACAAAAGGACATTGTACTAATTTTAATGAGAAGTCGTTCGCCGTGTCAGTTGACGGCTGGAAAATTGCTTGTAATGTCTCTAGAAAATTTTTGCGCGGTATGATTTACTTCGGAAGAAAACTTCTCATTAAAACTATACGTCGAAATGTTATATTTAATTGTTTATTACATTTATCTTATTTATTTATTATATATTATATTTATTTATTTAATTATTGATATTATTTATATATTAATGGAATTTTTTCTTCAGATAATGCAAACTTCAATGTCCTACTTCACGGTATTAGCGTCATTTCGATAAACATCCACCAGCTTATGCTTCATATGTTTGGGATAAAGAAATATATTTAGTAATAAATTATTTTGCTCGATATTTATGTCTACGTTGAGCTACGTAAATTAAGATATGTTAATATAAGTTTTCTATATAAAGTATCATATAGCACTCTAGGTTAACGCCGCGAACTTATTTTCAATGTTTCAATGTTTCATAAACATTTCACTTTACTTCGTTAGGAAGAATTTAATGTTAATATTAAGTATTACTATCAAGTACCAGATATTTTCCTCTCCTTGATAAGATGAATAGAATATTGACAGAATATTCACTAAATATTGGAAGAAATTGGCAAAGAAAACGATTCCAACTCGGCAGTCAAATCTAGCATTTTCCCACACTGCGAAAGTGGTAAGTATCAGTGTTATTATTTATACCTTGTTGTTCAGTGCAAGCTGAGTGGTATAACATACAATTATCTTTGACATTGCGTGTGTAAAGAACATGAGTGTAGGGAGGGTTTCGTTATACATATTTAATGCACTTTATATTGTTCTGGGTACACATTTTGCTGCGTCTATCTTACTAGTGCATACTTTATTCAGTATTTTTTCCATCTTGATATTTTCTCATCGTTACCCTTACTATGGGTTGTAGCGAATGAAAAATTCATATCGCAATTTTACCGATCATAGTCTAAGTATATTGGGCGAACATATGCGTATTATCAAAAAGTTCAGCATTCTAACAACTCTCTCACTGATATATTTTTCTTCACGCTAAATCAGAAATTTTCGTTTCGTTCACGAGGCAACATGAATATGTTCTTCGACACGCGCTATCGTGCAACAAAATTGTTTTCCTCGATAGTGGGTCTATGGCCGTATCAATCGCAGTTTAAAAGAAAAATTATCCTATCGTTCAGTATACTTGTGTTAATCTCGTATCTTCCACCTCAGGTAAAATAGAGTATAAGAGGGAGCTACCGAAATCATACCAGTCTCTTAAATCTTACGTACTTCATCAATTATACTTAATCTTTTTTATGATCGTAGTACGCACAAAACAAGATATAATCTGAAAATTTTTTGTTCATATTTCTTAATTTTTATCGTTAGATATTAATCATATTCAATAATAAAAAGAATTGATGAAGTACAATTTGGGAGACCGCGGTACGATTTAAGAAAATATCCTCTAATTTTTTCATATCTGTGAGATTGTAATATTTTTATTGTGACAAAATGGTAAAAAAAATTTGAATGTAGCATAATTTGAAATTAGCGTAGAATAGTGTAGAATAATTTCCTGATATATAAGTCTTTAAAAATAAAAGTAAGGAAAAGGAAAAGGAGAAAAATAATTATCGTATAATATTATAATAGGAAATATACAGAAATTTAATTAAGAATTCAAATTATAAAACAAAAAGTCACGCTATTTCTTTGAGTTATAAGCGGCCAAAATAGACTAGTAACATCGCATAGAGTTTACGAGAATTGATAATCTACTATTAATTTTTGCAGTTTAGCTGATATTGATTTTTACAGATTTTGTTTTCAGTTTCTTACGTGCAATTATTACGTATACATGAAGCAATGTTAATGCTTCCGTTCAGATGTAGTATTTTTTATGCGACCCAAGCAGAATACGAATTATTAACGATTGTTTAAACGTGAAATCAAATGATTGGTTAATTACTTTTCTAAAAAAGATTATTGCCTCCAATATTCGAGAAAGAGCCTCTTTGAGTGCAATTCTATGCGATATCAGAATATGTTATTACAATAAATATAAAATAAAATATTACATAATGGGCATTTCGAAACTTTAGCTTTTGAGATAGAATTAAAAAAGATACTATAAAGTACTTATCTCTATTGTTCGCAATTTTGATTCAGCTGACGCGACTATATCAAGTGTGGGGAAAGGACTTAGATGCGGTGTCCATGTGTATACCACCTACGCTCATTATCGTATTTTGCGCAGTTAAGAACATGGCGATAATCTGGTTTGATTCCGAGGTAATAATTGCATTATCATTTATAAGTTCACTATAAGGCTACATATTTCCTTAAAACGCCAGATGAGAACGTTATTGCGTGAAATTGAAGCAGGATGGGCAGATATAGCTTTGAAGAAAGAAGAAAATCAGATTTTAACGGATTACGCGTCAAAAACGAGAATATTTTGCATCGCATATGCAGGTAAGGAAAATATCGTGAACTGTGGCGAGCGTGTGTGACGTTACTTCTATCCTTTCAGCTGTAATGTATAATGGACTTATATGGTTCATCCTAATGCCGACGATCTCGCCAATACTAGATATTGTTTTACCTCGCAACGAAACGCGCGTGAGGGTTTTAGGCTTTGACCTTGATTACGGAATTGACATGCAAACTTACTGGGTCTGGTTGTGGTTGCACACCAGTGTGGCTGGGGTGGCGGTTATATTTAATATTGTTGGTTCGGGCGTAATATTCATTACGTTGACTATTCACTCTTGTTGTTTGTTCGAGATAACTAGGTCAGTATTTCAGCTTTTCAATCCGTAGTTTATGAAAAAGCTGGAGAAACCTGAATTTTCGAGTACTGCATGAGTCTGTTTAAGTTTTTGAAATATATGTATTTCTATTTCTCTCATTTGAGAAGAAGTATACAGGGTGTTATAGATTTTCCTCCACAATTTTTGTGGAAACGTAGGACGGATTGAGATGGACATGAAAGTCCTATACCGTCTTGGGATATTCGCAATAATAGTTAAGATATTAATTAAAGAAAATTGAAAGTGAATGATCATGCGCATATTAATTGTAGATTAATTGTAGTGTTATTGTGTGCTTGACTTTAGATTAAATTGAATAAAAATGCCCTCTATTATTTTGCAAATAACCACACAGATTTTTAGTTATTAATTAAAGAAAATTGTTATTGTGCGTGATAAAATACACAAATCTTCTTTAATTAATATCTACAAATCTATGTAATCATTTGCAAAATGCTATAGAACTTTTTTGTTTGGTTTGACCTAATATATAAATATACTACGGCAGAGGGCGCCACTACAGCTGATTTACCATATCACGCGTGATCATTCACTAATCTTCTTTAATTAATCTCTTCTCGAGATTTAATGCGAATATTGCAAAACGGTATGAGACTTTTATGTTTATCTCAATGCGTTCTACATTTCCACAAAAATTACGGAAGAGAGTCTGGGACACCTTATATAATCATTTGCAAGGAACATCTTATATATTCACTTGCAAGGAATATATATAAGGAGTATAATATGATTTGTAGAAATAAATTAGAACATATAACCGACATGATCAGACTGCATGCTATGCAATTGCTCGAGGATGATAATCATAACATCAAGTACAATGTTTACCAATACAAAGAGGTGCGATTGAATTTGGAAGGGCAAGCTTCTGCAGTAAGAGAATGTGTTCGTAGTCACAATAAAGCGATAAAGTTGGTATTGGTATTGACAGAATTATAAAGCATGTTCCACAGAAATATCTATTTATCAGGTCAGTCTAGAAATTCGGTTTGATTTTTAATCAGAAGGCACCACATGTAAGCAACGATGACGATTATTTGGTTGACGAATAATTCGTTTCCATGAAAAGTAATTAAATCAAATTAACTTAATAATAACTCGTTAATTAAACCGAATTTTTGGATTGGTATAACATACCAACGTTAAAATTATAAAATACATTCCGTATAAAATACTATTACACTTACTTATAAAATACTAGTACACTTACTACATGGAATGAAAAGTCCCAGGCCTGACAAGGAAAAAATCAATTTTTTACAGTAAAAACGTTTTTATTCTTCGGTATAGTCTCCATCTAGAGCAATACACTTAACCCAGCGGTCCTCCAACATTTCGATGCACTTTGAAAAAAACGATTTGTCGAGGTCTGCAAAATAGGCCTCCGTTTCGGCGATGATCTCAGCATTCGACGTGAATTTCTTACCCTGGGGGAATCTCTTCAAGTTTGGAAACAAATAATAATCTCTGGGGGCCAGATCTGGAGAATACGGAGGGTGGTGGACCAATTCGTAGCGCAATTCATCGAATTTGACCGTCGCTTTCACCGATGAATGTGCCGGTGCATTGTCGTGGTGGAACAGCACTTTCTTCCTTGACATGTGCGGCCGTTTTTTCTTGATTTCGTAGCTCAAACGGTCCAATAAAGTAACGTAGTAGTCGCCCGTGATGGTTCTTCCCGTCTCCAAATAATTAATGTAGATTATTCCATGAGCATCCCAAAAAATGCTGGCCATAACCTTCCTGGCTGACTGTTGGGTCTTCGGACGCTTCGGACGACTGCTATCCGCTTCCAATCACTCTGCAGACTGCCGATTGGACTCCGGCGAGTAATAGTGGATCCATGTTTCATCCACAGTCACGAATCGACGCAAAAAGTCCTGTCGATTACGCCGGAACAAGGCCAAACCGCGCTCGGAATCGTCAACACGTTTCTGCTTCTGGTCCGGAGTGAGGAAGCGCGGCACCCATCGCGCGGTTAGCTTCTTCATACCCAAATGTTCGTGCAAAATGTTGTTTACGCGTTTAATGGATATGCCTACGGTCTGTGCTATCTCTTGCAACTTCGCTTTCCGATCTTGCAAAACGATCAAATGGATTTTTTTTATGTTTTCCGGTGTGGTGGCCTCGGAGGGACGTCCAATGCGTTCAGCGTCCTTGGTGCTGGTACGGCCACGTTTGAAGTCCGTAAACCAGCGTTTCACGGTTGTAATCGATGGTGCGGATGTGGGATAACATTTATCCAGCCACTCCTTGGCCTGAACGGTGTTTTTTCCCATCAGAAAACAATGTTTTATCAAAACGCGAAACTCATCTTTTTCCATCGTTTGCAAACAACCAAAACTTGTTTGACGCAATCGGTTGTCATTCGAATAATGAATGAAATGTCATGAAATTTGGAATGAGGCCCTCTGACGGATGGCTCTCAACGATTACATACACGATTTGATACTAGCCGCGACATCTCTGTGTGAAGCCCGGGACTTTTCATTCCACGTAGTATAATGATTGCATCATATATGTGTGATTGATTTAAAATCCTCGTTAAGTAGATATGTTCAAGTAGTACACTACATTTACGCGTGGAGTATTTTTGTTGAGGTAGCTGTGTGCTTAATCAACTTAACTGTCTCATTGCTCCAAGTGAGTTTAAATTAAAAATGGACCTTTCTGTTAGACAATTGATTTTCTTTCCTCTTTCTTCAGTTAGTGAGCAAGCTGTTTCTTTGGAGCGAGATGATGATGTCCGTCGCGTATATACTTGGTGAGCTGATGCACTTGCTCTTTCTCAGCTTAATGGCACAATTTATATTGGACCAAAGCCTGAATGTTCACGAAGCAGTGTGAGTGATTGGCCGCGGTTGTCGCGTACGGATTATGCTGCGTGTAGACGTACTGAAAATGATAAGTTTGCAGATACTCGAGCGCTTGGTACAATTTGTCTAGCAAATTTCAGAAAGACTTCGTGCTGATTCTAAGGAGAAGTAGTGTGCCGTGCCAGTTAATGGTCGGAAATATGTTCGTATTGTCGCTGGAAACCTTTTGCACGGTACGAATGTTCATAAGAATATTTATGCTTTAATATCGATAATCCAAAACCGATGATTTATGAATATTATATTATAAATTTTCACACACACACGTTTTGTATTTGATTTTGTATAGATTCTGCAGACATCAATGTCCTACTTCACGATGTTAGCGTCTTTCCGATGAATCTCAAATTAACGTATTTACTTAGTGCTAGTAATCATTGCTTGAGGATACAATTAAGAAAAAAAAATAAATTCATTAGTGAAATATAAATTTAGTATTAATGCTTTGTAATATATATATACACATTATTATTACAATATATATATATATATATATATATATATATATATATATACATATATACACACTGAGAGACAAATTATATTAAAATCAATAAATATTTCTTTGATGGGTGCCATTAATATATTTACTTAAATCTATGTTCTCTTTAATCGCATTCGGTTAATATTCTCGTATTTTTGAGCGAATTCTAAGACTATTTTTCCTCTTGCAAAATATTATCCGAGGCTTAGTTGTTGAGGTATAAAGAGAAATAGGTAGCCACTCACAGGTACAGAAAGTAGGCAGAGGCGGCACAATTCACCGTCAGACACAGACGTTGGACAATACACATGTGACAATATTCATACATCTTAGTTTGTAAATTTGCGCGGTATAATTTACTTCGGAAGAAAACTTCTCATTAAAACTATACGTCGAAATGTTATATTTAATTGTTTATTATATTTATCTTATTTATTTATTATATATTATATTTATTTATTTAATTATTGATATTATTTATATATTAATGGAATTTTTTAATATGGTATTTTTTCTTTAGATAATGCAGACTTCAATGTCCTACTTGCTTGAGATAAAGAAATATATTTAGTAATAAATTATTCTGCTCGATATTTACGTCTACGCTGAGCTACGTAAATTAAGATATGTTAATATAAGTTTTCTATATAAAGTATCATATAGCACTCCAGGTTAACGCTGCGAACTTATTTTCAATGTTTCATAAACATTTCACTTTACTTCGTTAGGAAGAATTTAATGTTAATATTAAGTATTACTATCAAGTACTAAATATTTTCCTCTTCTTGATAAGATGAATAGAATATTGATAGAATGTTCACCAAACATTGGAAGAAATTGGCAAAGAAAACGATTCCAACTCGGCAGTCAAATCTAGCGTTTTCCCACACTGCGAAAGTGGCAAGTATCAGTGTTATTCTTTATGTTATTATACCTTGTTGTACCTTGTTATATCTTATTGTACCTTGTTGTTCAGTGCAAGCCGAACTGCATAAAATATAATTACCTTTGACATTGCGTGTGTAAAGAACACGAGTGTAGGGAAGATTTCGTTATACATATTTAATGCACTTTATATTGTGCTGGGTACACATTTTGCTGCGTCTATCTTACTAGTGCATACTTTATTCAGTATTTTTTCCACCTTGATATTTTCTCATCGTTACCCTTACTATGGGTTGTAGCGAATAAAAAATTCATATCGCAATTTTACCGATCATAGTCTAAGTATATTGGGCGGACACATGCGTATTATCAAAAAGTTTAGCATTCTAACAACCCTCTCACTGATGTATTTTTCTTCATGCTAAATCAGAAATTTTCGTTTCGTCCACGAGGCAACATGAATACGTTCTTCGACACGCGCTATCGTGCAACAAAATTGTTTTCCTCGATAGTGGGTCTATGGCCGTATCAATCGCAGTTTAAGAGAAACATTATCCTATCGTTAAACATACTTGTATTTATCTCGTATCTTCCACCTCAGGTAAAATAGAGTATAAGAGGGAGCTACCGAAATCATACCAGTCTCTTAAATCATACTTCATCAATCGTACTTGATCTTTTTATGATCGTAGTACGCACAAAACAAGATATAATCTGAAAATTTTTTGTTTGTGTTTCTTAATTTTTATCGTTAGATATTAATCATATTCAATAATAAAAAGAATTGATGAAGTATGATTTGGGAGACCGCAATACGATTTAAGAAAATCTCCTCTAATTCTTTTACACCTGTGAGATTGTAATATTTCTGTATGACAAAACGATAAAAAATTTTGAATGTAGCGTAATTTGAAATTAGTGTAGAATAATTTCCTGTTATACAAGTCTTTAAAAATAAACAGAAAAGGAAGGAAAAGGAAAAAGAGAAAAATAATTAACGTATAATATTATAATAGGAAATATACAGAAATTTAACTGAGAATTAAAATTCTAAAATGAAAAGTCATGCTATTTCTTTGAGTTATAAGCCGCCGAAATAGACTAGTAACATCGCATAGAGTTTATGAGAATTGGTAATCTGCTATTAATTTTTGCAGTTTAGCTGATATTGATTTTTATAGATTTTATCTTCAGTTTCTTACGTGCAATTATTACGTATACATAAAGCAATGTTAATGCTTCCGTTCAGATGTAGTATTTTTTATGCGACCCAAGCAGAATATGAATTATTAACGATTGTTTTAACGTGAAATTAAATGATTGGTTAATTACTTTTCTAAAAGAGATTATTGCCTCCAATATGCGAGAAAGAGCCTCTTTGAGTGCAATTCTATGCGATATCAGAATATGTTATTACAATAAATATAAAATAAAATATTATATAATGGGAGGTTCGAAACTTTAGCTCTTAAGATAGAATAAAAAAAGATACTATAAAGTATTTACCTCCATTGTTCACAATTTTGATTCAGCTGACGCGACTATATCAAGTGTGGGGAAAGGACTTAGACGCGATGTCCATGTGTATACCACCTATGCTTACCCTCATATTTTGCGCAGTTAAGAACATGGCGATAATCTGGTTTAATTCCGAGGTATTAATTGTATTATCATTTATAAGTTCACTATAAGGCTACATATTTCCTTAAAACGTCAGATGAGAACGTTATTGCGTGAAATTGAAGCAGGATGGGCAGATATACCTTTGAGAAAAGAAGAAAATAAGATTTTAACGGATTACGCGTCAAAAACGAGAATGTTTTGCATCGCATATGCAAGTAAGGAAAATATCGTGAGCTGTGGCGAGCGTGTGTGACGTTACTTCTATCCTTTCAGCTATAATGTATAATGGACTTATATGCTTTATCCTAATGCCGACGATCTCGCCAATACTAGATATTGTTTTACCTCGCAACGAAACGCGCGTGAGGATCTTAGGCTTTGAACTTGATTACGGAATTGACATGCAAACCTACTTTTTCTGGTTGTGGTTGCACACCAGTGTGGCTGGGATGGCGGTTATATTTAATACTGTTGGTTCGGGCGTAATATTCATTACATTGACTATTCACGCTTGTTATTTGTTCGAGATAACTAGGTCAGTATTCCAGCTTTTCGATCTGCAGCTTATGAAAAAGCTGGAGAAAATTAAACTTTCGGGTACTGTATGCGTCTGTTTAAGTTTTTGAGATATATATATTTCTATTTCTCTCATTTGAGAAGAAGTATACAGGATGTTTTAGATTCTCATCCGCAATTTTTGTGGGAACGTAGAACGGATTGAGGTGAACATGAAAATCCTATATTGTCTTGCGATATTCGCAATAATAGTTAAGATATTAATTAAAGAAAATTGAAAATTAATGATCATACGCATATTAATTGTAGATTAATTGTAGTGCTGTTGTGTGCTTGACTTTAAATCAAATTGAATAAAAAAGCCCTCTATCATTTTACAAATAACCATGCAGATTTTTAGTTATTAACTGAAGAAAATTGTTACATGATTGTTACATAATTGTGCGTGATAAAATGCACAAATTTTCTTTAATTAATATCTACAAATCTATATAGTCATTTGCAAAATGCTACAGGACTTTTTTGTTCGGTTTGACCTAATATAAATATACTACGGCAGAGGGCGCCACTACAGCTGATTTACCATATCACGCGTGATCATTCACTAATCTTCTTTAATTAATCTCTTCTCGAGATTTAATGCGAATATTGCAAAACGGTATGAAACTTTTATGTTTATCTCAATACATTCTACATTTCCACAAAAATTACGGAAGAGAGTCTGGGACACCTTATATAATCATTTGCAAGGAACACCTTATATATTCACTTGCAAGGAATATATATGTATAGTATGATTTGTAGAAATAAATTAGAACATATAATCGACTTAGTCGGACTGCATGCTACGCAATTGCTCAAGGATGATAATCATAACATCAAGTACAATGTTTACCAATACAAAGAGCTGCGATTGAAATTGGAAGAGCAAGCTTCTGCAATAAGAGAATGTGTTCGTAGTCACAATAAAGCGATAAAGTTGGTATTGGTATTGACAGAATTATAAAGCATGTTCCACAGAAATATCTATTTATCAGGTCAGTCTAGAAATTCGGTTTGATTTTTAATCAGAAGGCACCACATGTAAGCAACGATGACGATTATTTGGTTGACGAATAATTCGTTTCCATTAAAAGTAATTAAATCAAATTAATTTAATAACAACTCGTTAATTAAACCGAATTTTTGGATTTACCCAACGTTAAAATTATAAAATACATTCCGCATAAAATACACTTATAATGATCGTATCATATATGTGTGATTGATTTAAAATCCTCGTTAAGTAGATTTGCTCAAGTAATACACTACATTTACGCGTGGAGTATTTTTGTTGAGGTAGCTCTGAGCTTAATCAACTTAAGTGTCTCATTGCTCCAAGTGAGTTTAAATTAAAAATGGACCTTTCTGTTAGACACTTGATTTTCTTCCCTCTTTCTTTAGTTAGTGAGCAAGCTGTTTCTTTGGAGCGAGATGATGATGTCCGTCGCGTATGCATTTGGTGTGATGATGCACCTGTTCTTTCTCAACTTAATGGCACAATTTATATTGGATCAAAGTCTGAACGTTCACGAAGCAGTGTGAGTGATTGGCCGCGGTTGACGCGTACGGATTATGCTGCGTGTATAAGACGTATTGAAAATGATAAGTTTGCAGATACTCGAGCGCTTGGTACAATTTGTCTAGCAAATTTCAGAAAGACTTCGTGCTGATTCTAAGGAGAAGTAATGTACCATGCCAGTTAAAGGTTGGGAATATGTTCGTATTGTCGCTGGAAACCTTTTGCACGGTACAAATGTTCATAAGAATATTTATACTCTAATATCAATGATCCAAGACCGATGATTTATGAATATTATATTATAAATTTTTACATACACATGTTTTGTCTTTGTATAGGTGCTGCAGACATCAATGTCTTATTTCATGATGTTAACTTCTTTCCGATGAATCTCAAATAAACGTATTTACTCACTGCAATAAACGTATTTACTTTATAGTTATATTTAGTAACTAATGTTTCAAGATAAAATTATAAAAAAAAAAAAAAATAGATTCATTAATGAAATTCATTAATTTAGCATTAATGCTTTGTAATACGTGTATATTATTACGATATATATATATATATATATATATATATATATATATATATATATATATATATATACACTGAGAGAAAAATTATATTAAAATCAATAAATATTTCTTTGATGGGTGCCATTAACATATTTATTTAAATCTATATTCTTTTTAATCGCATTCGATTAATGTTCTCGTATTTTTTAGCGAATTCTAAGACTATTTTTTCTCTTGCAAAATGTTATCCGAGTCTTAGTTGCTGTGATATAAAGAGAAATAGTTAGCCACTCACAGGCCAGATACAGAAAGTAGGCAGGGGCGGTACAATTCACCGTCAGACACAGACGTTGGGCAATACACATGTGACAATATTCATTCATTTTAGTTTGTAGATTTTCAATGCTTGCGTCAATGTGATTGTGCACAATAGTAAATAAATTATTTTAACTTAGTTGAATATGATTATAATATAACATAAGGATAAAATAGGCGATTGCGTTCGCGCACGCGAACTGATTAATAATACATGAGTAATGTAAAAAAAAAAGAGTAAAATAAATTATACTTGAGTAACGTGAGCGTAAAATTATTCATCAAATGCTTATAATAAACATAAATCAATATTTTCATATATAAAAAATTATTAAGATAGCAAATAAATAATATTTGTAGTATTAGCTGTATTGTACAATTTTGTAGTATAATTATAATTATTTGATGAACAATTATCTTGAATTACTTATCCGTCTTTTAGATAAGTTTTTATTCCTTGAGAATTATTAGACACATTAACATTCCAGATATTAATCAGTAGTGATGCGTCTTGCTCGTATACTCTAGCTCTGGATTGCGATATCGTGAGATCTTCCATACGCGTTCATATTCGCGAAGCTATAAGAGAATACAGTTAAAAACGAAAAAGCGTTTAATAACGAACTGTTGCGAAACGCTACGACGTTCAGCCGCGCTTGTTGAGTATAAGCAGTGAGTCTGAAATAATAATGCGATGTATGTTCAAAGCGTTATGCGGCCGCGCGGCAACGTGATCATAAATTCTATTTATCTGTACATACTATTTCTTCTTTCTACTAGGGTCTTTCTACAACAGTATTATCTGCTTTTGTTATCGCTTTACGCTGCACAGCCATTTGAAGTATGCAACAGAATACTAACGACGCTATAGACTGAAAGAGCTAAAGGGTTAAAGAAAACATTGTAGCGACCATTTGAAAATTCTCACAAAGCCATTGTGGAAAGGCCATGGATTTCTTTGACTCGCGATATTTTCGATTCAATAAGCTCTTGCTGTCTTTCTTAGGGCTCTGGCCGTACCAAACGCCGAACATGAAGTGTCTGACTCTATCGTTTAGTGTGTTAGGAACTACGACAACGTTATTATCACAGGTGTATAGTTTACTAGATAATAGTAATAATCTATCATCATTAGATAAAGAAAAATTACGGAAGGAAAAATCGTTAAATATAGCACAATAAAAATAATAGACGCATTTTTAAGTCTACAAGCAATTGTACATACATGAGTTCACGTTTTATCCGAGTGTGCGAAAATAATACATATAATCGACACGCTACATAAATATACTATGTTTTAATAGGTTATTTATTTTTTCAAACACTGGAACGAATTAAATGAGGTATTTGAAGTTATGCCAATGATGTGTGTTGCTTTCTTAAATCTTATGAAAGTCATTTGTTTGGTTTGCAATTCGAAAAAGGTAGACAGGATCTTGTTGCGCCAAATTCGCGAGTTTGTATTTGAAGATAGTATTTCAGTTTGCAGTGCTTCTGCAGTTAACACAGGAGGACTGGAATAATCTGTTGAAAAATCAAGAAACGCAGATTATAACATACTACATCGAGATCAGTCGGAAGTTTACACTCGCATATTTATGTACGGATTGTGGGATAGAAGCACTATTTTAATATTTACTTAGAAAGTTGTCACACAAATTTATTTTCATTGGCAGATAAAAATCTAAATAAGGCGTGAAAATGATAACGTTAGCGATGTTTCAAAATTTGAGAGTTTGAAGTTCTTCTATTGATTGAATCAGAAACATTCTTTTCTGAGCCTTTTTATGGAGCCTTACTCCGAACATGTTTTCTCCATATAGATTGCACGCTTGTAATTACGTCTTGTTATGCATTGACACCTATTGCCACACATGTACTTGACATCAAGTCACCTCTGAATCAAACAAAACCTAGAAAATTGTTTTACCCGGCGGAATACTTAGTGAATCAAGAAAAGTACTATTACGTACTTCTGCTAAGCGAGTACGTCGGTTATATTTTATGCGTTTTAATTGGAGTAACCACCGATATCACTTACTTTTTGCTGCTGGAGTATACCTGTGGAATGCATGCTGTATTATGGTGAGAGGACCAGTAAACTTTAATCTGACCATTGATCAAATTATTATTATCGACTATGAGATTAACGTCTAGTGTTTACAACAAATTCAATATATATCACTCACATATATTAAAATCTTTTGTTTATCTTGCAGTCATCGCTTGGAGATTTTAAATGAACTTTACAAGTTGGAATGGGTTGACAGTAATCAATCGGACGGAAGCAATGGGATCAGCTATCGTGTGCGACGTTGTATTCAACTGGACAAGAGAATAAAAGTGTTGGTGTGATAATCCAGTTAGAGTCTTATAATTAACATCTATGCATAATTTTCATTATATATATATATATATATATATATATATATATATATATATATATATCATTTTCACAATCTCTTGTGAGGACGTAAAGCGGATTGAAATGAACACAAAAGTCCAATACCGTTTTGCGATATTCGCAATAAATCTCAAGATATTAATTAAAAAAAATTGGCGAATGATCACGCGCGATGTGGTATATGAGCTTCAATTGTATCGTCTGCCGTTGTATACTTGTACATTAAGTCAAACTGAACAAAAAAGTCCTCTACCATTTTGCAAATGATAACATAGATTTTTAGATATTAATCAAAGAAAATTATTACATGATTATGTACCATAATGCACAAATTTTCTTTAATTAATATCTAAAAACCTATGTTGCTATTTGCAAATGTAGAGGACTTTTTTGTTCAGTTGGACTTAATGTACAAGTATATAACCGCAGATGGTGCAATTGAAGCTCATATATCACATCGCGCGTGATCATTCGCCAATCTTTTTTAATTAATATCTTGAGATTTATTGCGAATATCGCAAAACGGTATTGGACTTTTGTGTTCATTTCAATCCGCTTTGCGTCCTCACAAGAGATTGTGAAGGTGATACGGGACACCCTGTATATATGCATGTATGTGTGTGTCTACGTATTTAAAATTTATTTAACATAAGAATACATATGAACAATAATCTTTGTGAATTTAGATACATAAAGGAAATGGAATCTACTTTTGCGACAAATCTTTTAATCGACATTGCAGTAGGAGCAGTATTTTATATTTGTACGTGCATAATGGTAAGTACAATGTATACAGGGTATCTGGTAACTGATTGAGCAACCGCCGTATACAGGTAGAACAGATCAAAATAATATCATAAAAGTTATATACCATTTTGAAATTTTCTCAATATTTATTCCGAAATTAATTAAAATGTATAAACAAATAAGCTCACGAGAAGCGGTAGGACAAGCTCTGTATGTAAAAGAAATGGCTTACCTCTTAGATACTCAACGATGAGTAAACAGCTGATTTCGAGGCGGAGTAACAAACGATACGTATATGTTACTCCATCTCGAAATCAGCTGTTTACTTATCGTTGCTAAGAAGTAAGCCATTTCTTTTACACACAGAGCCTGTTCTACCGCTTCTCGTGAGCTCATTCGTTTATACATTTTAATTCATTACGGAATAAATATTGAGAAAATTTCAAAATGGTATATAACTTTTATGATTATTTTGATCCGTTCTACCCATACACGGCGGTTGCTCGATCAGTTATCGGACACCCTATATATAACCAATAAGCTCCCAACATGTAGCATAACATCAACATGAGATTTTATTTATTGCGTTCTCACTTTTTTCTCCTCTTATTTTTGTGAAAATATACCAATTATTTGTTAAACTATGTTATAAATATTTTAAAGATCATGACATTTGTTGTAGATTGTGATTCGAGCGAGACGGTTATTTGAAATTTTTCGACTTGTTGCAGTTGCAATACTGTATACTTCTCGATTCTTTTTAATCAGTTGGACTGGACAGAGAGTGATTGATCACAGTTCTGAAATTCCAACAGCCGTGTAAGATAAATTAAAATGCAAAAACATTTGCACTGAAAATTACGAAAACACTATCTTTCAGTTATGATTGCGTGTGGTATCGAATGCCTGTAGAAATACAAAAGATGCTAATGCTATTAATTGTAAGAAGTCAGAGGCCTTCCCGAATGATACTAGCGGGAATTTACATAATCAATCTAGAAAGTTTTACTTCGGTAATTACACAGAAAGATTGGCGTAGCGATGTGACAATATATAGAAAATCATGTATGTGTATATTCTAGCAAAGATAAAACTTTTTTGTTGAATATAATAATTTTATTTTAAGGTAATGAGAACATCAGTATCATATTGCACGGTAATGATTTCGCTACGCCCAACCATGGAGAATATATAACTTTCCATTAGATTTATCTCTAGTTAGTTTTTTTCATGTCTTTCGAGAACTGAGATATTAGTGTAAAAGTATTCGCCCAATGCTTGTAATAAATGTAAATCAATATCTCCATATAGTAAATAATATTAAATTAGCAAACAAATTATATTTGTAATATTAGTTACATTATATAATTGTACTGTTGTAATAATTACCTTGTGTTGTAACTACTCGTTTGTCTCTTAGAGGAGTTCCTATTCCTTGAGAAGGTGAGAGATATCAATCATTTGAGGTATTAATCAATAGTGATGCATCTTGTACTCGTATATTCTAGTCCTGGATCTCGATACTGTGGGACTCTCCATATACACGTGCTCACATCCGCGAAGCTATAAGAGAATACAGTAAAAAACTAAGAGGCGTTTGATAACGAACTGTTGCGAGACACTACGACATAATATCCGCTTGTTGAGTCTAAGCAGTGAGTCTGAAATAATAATGCGACGTACGTTCAAAGCGTTATGCGAGCGAGCGGCAACGTGATCATAAATTCTATTTTCCATACATACTATTTCTTCTTGCTACCAAGGTCTTTCTATAATAGCATTATCTGCTTTTGTTATCGCTTTACGCTGCACAGTCATTTGAAGTTTGCAACAGAATACTAACGACGCTATAGACTGAAAGAACTGAAGGGCTGAAGAAACATTGCAGCGACTATTTGAGAGATCTCACAAAGACACCGTGGAAAAACCATGAATTTCTTTGACTCGCGATATTTTCGACTCAATAAGCTCCTCCTGTCTTTCTTAGGGCTCTGGCCATACCAAACGTCGAACATGAAGCGTCTGAGTCTATCGTTTAGTGTGTTAGGAAGTATGGCAACGTTATTGCCACAGGTGTATAACTCACTAGATAATAATAATCCATCAACAATAGTTAATGAGAAAATACGGAAACCGTTAAGTATACCGTAATAAAAATAAAAGTCGCATTTTTTAAGTCTATAAACGATCATACACACACAAGTACACATTTTATCGAAGTGTGCACGAATAATAATATATATGTAATCGACGGTATATAAACATATAACTTATTTCTTAATAGATTATTTATTTTCTTAAACACTCGAACGATTTGGATGAGGTGTTCGAAATTATGCCAATGGCGTGCGCCGCTTCCATAAATCTCATGAAAGTCATTTGTTTGGCTTACAATTCGAAAAAGGTAGGCAGGATCTTGTTGCGCCAAATTCACGAGTTTGCATTTGAAGATAGTGTTTCAGTTTGCAGTGCTTCTGCGGTTAACGCAGGAAGACTGGGATAATTTGCTGAAGAACCAAGAAACGCTGATTATAACGCGCTATGCCGAGATCGGCCGGAAGTTTATGCTCGCATATTCATGTACGAATTGTCGGGTAGATACATTGGTCCAATATTCGTCTAGAATATTCGTTGTTTAAATGTTTTCTCGTGTAATACGGAGCTCTATTCCAAGCATGATTTCTCGATATAGATTCTACGCTCGCGTTTACGTCTTTTTATGCAATGACACCTTTTACCACATATGTACTTAACATCAAATCGCCTCTGAATGAAACGAGACCCAGAAAATTGCTTTACCCGGCGGAATACTTAGTGAATCAAGAAAAGTACTATTACGTACTTCTGCTAAGTGAGTACGTTGGTTTTGCCTTGTGTCTTTTAATTGGAACAATCGCCGATACCACTTACTTTTTGCTGCTGGAGCATATTTGTGGGATGCACGCTACACTATGGTGAGAGAACTAGTGATTTTATACTACTTGATTTTATTCTATTTATTGTCAAATTAATAACCTACTATGTTATTAATATAGTGATTCGAATACAAATGCGATAATATATATAAATATATATAAATATATATATATATATATATATATATATATATATTTTTTTTTTTTACCTATATTTATCTTTTAGTCGTCGCTTGGAGAATTTAAAGACACATTATAAATCTGGATGGGTCGACAATAATGAATCGTGCGCAAGTGATGGAATTGGTCGTCGTGTGCGATGTTGTATTCAACTGGATAAGAGAATAAGAGGGTTGATGTGATAATAATTTATAACACACAGTTGTAGACTTATAATTAACATCTTACCCAACATCTCTAATACGTTTTTTTCAAAACTTACGTAATACTTGTATAATTTCAGATATGTAGAGATAATGAAATCAACATTTTCAGCAGTTCTTTTGATCGACATTATATTAGGAACTACAATTTATACTTGTGCATGTATAATGGTAAGTGCAATCAACACATATAATATAATATTAAATTTTACTTTTTACAAGCCCTCTTTTTCTCTCTCTTGATCTTTGTGAAAGTGTACTATTCATTTGTTAAATAAAATCATAAATCATATTTTAAAGACCACAACATTCATTGTAGATTGTAATTCGAGCTGGACGGTTGTTTGAAATTATACGACTCATTGGAATTGCGATATTGCAGACTTTCCGATTCTTTATGATCAGTTGGAGCGGACAAAAAGTGACTGATCATAGTTTTGACATTTCGATAGCCGCGTAAGATAAAATTATCGAATTCGAAAATCATAAACTGGGAATCGTGAAACATTGAACTGTTTTTCAGTTACATTGCAATGTGGTACCTGATGCCTGTAGAAGTACAAAAGATGCTAATGCTGCTAATTGCGAGAAGTCAGAGGCCTTCCCGAATGATACTAGCGGGAATTTATGTAATCAATTTGGAAAGCTTTAGTTCGGTAATTATGTAGGAGGATTGGAGCTGTTACGATAATACAGCAATTTGTTTATTCTGACAAAGGTAAAACGTTCTATGACGCATACATCGAATTTTTTTCAGGTAATGAAGGCATCAGTATCATATTGCACTGTAATGATTTCATTGCGTGCGTCTATGGAAAATACATAACTTTCAATTAGATTTCTCAATCATTCTCTAGTCAGTCATATGTCTTTTGAGAATTCAAGCATTAGGATAGAAGTATTTATCGAATGCAATAAATATAATCAACATCCATATATTAAATAATATTAAGTTAGAGCAAATATATTATATTTTTAGTATTAGCTACATTATACAATTGTATTATTATTATAACAAATATCTTATGTTGTAACTATTTGTTTGTCTCTTAGATGAGTATATGTTCCTTGAGAATGCAAGAGACGTTAAGATTTGAGATATTAATCAGTAGTAGTGGATTTTATTCGCGTTTTCAAATCTTGAGTCATGATATTGCGGAACTTCCAATATATACGTGCTTACGCTCGCGAAGGATAGAAAATACAGTCAAAAACTAAGAATTATTGTAATGTAATATCCAGCTACGTTTGCTTAATCTAAGCAGCGAGTTTGAAATAATAATACAGTATACGATAAAAGCGTTACGCCGATGCGCGATAACGTTATACAAAAATTCTATTTATCCATTCTATTCTATTATCTTATTCTATTCAGGTAAAAATATCAATATGTATCTAATCCTGGACATTCTAATTATTTGGTCTTTTAAATACAGATTAAATTTTAAATATATTTAGTTTTAAAAATATAGATACTTAAACTTTGAACATAAAAATATATATACAAGTATTGAGTATGTACATATATTTTATGTTAAAAGTTTAAATATTCGTATTTAAAGGCCAAAACAATGAGAATGTTCAGGATTAGGCGCATGGGAAGTGTACCTTTACCTTACACACTATTCTTTCTCTCTACTAAAGCGTGCATTGCATTATATACTTTTGTTATCGCGTAACGCCGCACAGTCATTTGCAACGGAATACTAACGACGCTACAGACAAAATGAGCTAAACGACTAAATAAACATTGTAGTGACTGTTTGAAAATTCTTACAAAGACATTGTAGGAAGACTATGGATTTCCTTAAGCCGCGATACTTTCGGAATGCATGCTGTATTGTGGTGAGAGGACCAGTTAATTTTTATTTGATATTAATAATTTATGATAAGATTAACGTATAGTAAATTCTAAAACATAGTGTTAACATTTAGCCCATTGTTTTTAAGACATCCCATACACATACACATAGTCATTGCGAAAGACTGCTACTCAAGTACTGTCACAAGTAAAATTAATGCTATCAATCATTTTCCACAATTAACCGTTTTAGAGGCTCCACATGTTTGTAATTAGTATTATATGATTGGATTATATGTCATACGCGACATATCGTACGGCGTGAACGCTTCTTATTCTGTTTGACAAACTGAGCGTTCACGCACAGAGAACCGGACACTGCTGCTTTCCTGCCTTATGCCGCAGAAAGAAAGTGTCGACTATATACGAAATTAAAACTGCAGCGCTTTTTCCACGTATTACGTTTTCGCTTGAGGGAGGCACCCACTCGCATTATCGATTCTATTTAAATCAGTCTACGCTATATTGGAGACACATCGACGCTCTAAGGGAATAATAAATGCGCGATAGCATGGCTTGGTAGGGAGCTCTACTTCGACAGTTCTTTAAGAATTCCACTTGAACCGAGACAACGAACCGATGGACACCTTTGACACTCAATATTTTAAAGTTAACAGATTATTGCTGACATTTTGTGGCTTGTGGCCGTTTCAACCGCCGCGCAGCGGAAGCATTCTTCTGTATTGGGCGATATTGGGTGCATTGATTATATTCTTGCCACAGGTATCTCGCACGTTGCTGCACGCGTAATAGAGAAATCGTAGCAGAGAACTGAAAACAGTGTTCTTAAAACATGAGTTCCTCGGCGTTCATTTTTCGCGTTAAATTCACGCATTACTGCGCGATATGTTCCACAGACAACATACACTCCATATTGATCGCGCCGATTGATTCACCAACAGATTGCGTATATCTTCAAATACGCGAGATGTTTGGACGATTTGTATGACGTGCTGCCGTCCCTCATCGGTTCATGTATATGTCTCACGAAAGTACTCGGTCTCCACTGCAAATTCAAGGAAGTATGTGCGTGATCGCGAACACGGATACAACAGTATATCGATGCATTCATTCTCCTGTGTAATCGCAATCGCGGTTTGAATTTTGTTCGTGAAAACAATCATCGTGTCTCCAGTTCCAGCTGCTTATTCAACATGTGCATAATGATTGGTGTCACTTAGCGGGGCACGAAGATATTCGGATTTTGTTAGAATACATGGAACCTAGCCGGGTGTTTACACTGGCCTACTCAAGTACAATGAAATTAGATCAATGAAGCGTTATATTTAATGATTAATACGTTGACTGCTACGGCAATTTTCAGGATTCAGAAGCCAATTTCATTTAATCATATTATATTATTCAAAACTCTAATTATAGTAATCACCAAAAAGCATATAGAATGTTTGTTTGTAGATTTTCACTTTGAATACATTTTTAAGATTATATTTTCTGTTCATGTATGAATAAATTTTCTATTCATGTAAGTCAGCCTTGATTTTTTGTTCTCTTCTCAGAAGCCATTTCTTAGTTACACTTATATACCACGAATTCAATCGTAGCTGCACGAAAATGGCAAGTCAAAGAACTACGAGATAAATTGTAGTCGACACCCTAGCCAAGAAAGTCAACTACGATTTATCTCGTAGTTGGCAGTCAACGTGTTAATCTCTTCTTCTGCGATCTATGGAACAATTTCTTTTCCAGTCTTTGTCAGCACATTTGCTGCCAGTTACATCACGGCGCCGATTACCGTGCCGATATTCGACATCATACTAGCATCGAACGTGACGAGGCCGAAGAGACTTCCTCATCCGAGCGAGTTCTTCGTGGATCAAGAGAAGTATTACTATTACCTCCTGATGATAACGTACTTGGGGTATGCTTCGTGCGTGATGATTGCGATCGCGACCGACACTGTCTACTTCGCGTTGCTGCAACACACCTGCGGTATGCTCGCGATATTAAGGTATAGACATGCTACTTTTTCGTTGAAGAGTTTTGTCTACACACGAGAACAGAATTAGCAGAAGAAGCTAAGATGTAGCCGTGGCAGCTGAGGTGTTTGTGTTATAAAAGGGACAGCTGATGATGTCGTTGTTAAGTTCAATTTATTAATTGCTTGAACTTGGATGCTATGCAGCGAGAAATATCCGCTGCCAGAAACAAAAAATTACGATTAAAAAAAAAATTTCCTTATTTGTGCTGATGTGCGTTTTTAATTTCAACCAATGAATTTTTACTTTGCAATGAAAAAGCAAATGCATCCTATCCATAATCTATAACAGTTAATTCTTAGCAATGATATTCAAAATGATTAGCTAAGTACTGGCCAGATTTGAAGCAACTACTGAGATTTAGGTGATAAGTTTAGTAATATTCTTGTAAATTTAGTAATATCCTTGTATGGATTCTTCGCTTTGGTAACAGGATAAAATTGTGTGTATATCTTTGTGACAGAACGTACGTATTATTCTCTCATGTGTATATGGCTGTATACATGTTCACAGCCATCGTTTGGAGAATCTGGTCATATGCAACAGATCGAAATGCACCATTAATCATAATCTCGTATATACTTCGGATAAGGACGTTGGCCATTTGACTCAATGCATACAACTGCAAATCAGGATAGAAAGGTTGGTGCGAGCGGCTGGGGATGAAGCATATTAAATAGTGTATTTGATGATGTAGGTGATTAACCATTTCTTCTCCTGCTGACAGGCTAGTACAGTTAGTCGAGTCGACGTTCTCGATATGTCTCTGCGCCGAGATCGGCTTGGGCATGCTGTTTCAGTGTTCGTCGTGTGTTATGGTATATAAACGATGCTTAATAACTTGTCCCCTTGTTTACGCGTCGCGATGAAAAAGACAACTCTCTCGTACGTCGACTCGAGTCTCATTTGAAATCGCAGATCGTAACCCACACGGAAATGATGGAAATAATGAGAAACGGCCCGCTTCTGATAATCCAAATCTCTCGGATTTTCTTCAACAGTTGGATAGGACAGAGGATAATAGATCACAGCTCTCGGATTCCCGAAGCGGCGTAAGTTTTGCTAATTAACGACATTTGACGTAAGTATCATAACCGTGATGCACTTTCAGATACAATGGGCTGTGGTATCGCTCGTCGATGGCGATGAGGAGAATGTTGCTGTTGCTAATACTTAGATGTCAAAAGCCATATCGAATAACTACTGCTAAATTATATGTAATCAGTTTGGAAGGTTACAGTACGGTACGGTGATACTTAGTATGAGTGTATAGAGGATATCCTCAAAATATCCTACACTATTCTAGGAGAAAAAATATCTAAAAAATAAAATATATTTATCCAGTACTAATAACATACTTCTTATCTAAATTCTTTTATTAAAATAAAATAAACTACTATTTTCATGAAAAAAATACAATACTAATAACATACTTATTTCTTATTTAAATTCTTTTGTTAAAATAAAATAAACAACCACTTTTATGAAAAGCAATGACTTTAGAAAGATGTACATTTAAAAAAAGAACACTTTTTCAACGCAAAAATATGTATGTTAGTATAAATAAATATGTCACTAGAGTATCTATCAAATAAATATTTTTTTCTTAATTATATTTATATTTTTTAGATATTGTTTTCTCTCAATGTACAGTTGAGAGTGAAACAGTTTAAACACTTTTTTTTAGTTGAAATTGGTAACGCATTTAGTTGTAACATTTAGGAGTCACTATTCATAGACTTGTGCAGTAATCGGTTATGATAGAAGCCGAGCAGTACGTAGTATAAATGATAAAACTTACTTTTATATCATGTATTATGTTTTTGACCTGTCATCAATCTGTGAGTAGTGATTCTCAGATGTGAAAACTACTAGATGGGTTACTGCCTACATTAGAAAAAAAGTGTTCCAACAATTTCATTTTCGACTACATTTGATTACTAAATGGTTTATTCATATTTTTCTCATTGAAGTTGCAGCGCTCCAAGTAGTCACAATTGAGAGAATGTTGTTGAAGTTTTTGCACAATAATCAGTTATGGACCGAAGTGACAATATAAGAGATATCTGACGTAACAAATGTAACGGAAGATTCAGGAAAAATGCAAATATCTTTATTATGTTCTTATCTATCGTAGAAGAGCATAATAAAGGATCAATACTTACATCGTGTATCGCCACTTCGGCTCCTGACATAATCAACTATCATAGCAGTGTCTTCTAATTGTGACAACCAGGAGCATTTTAACTTTATTCGGACAACTTTATTCGTATAAATCGTTCAGTAATCAAGTGTATATGTAAGAGTACATTTAACGTTATACTATTTGTTTAAGATCATGCGAGCGTCCCTTTCCTACGTGACATTAATGGTATCGGTGCACTCGGGCGACGCGTGATTATTCCGTTTGCTGGAGTCCTGTCGTTTACTTTATACCTCTTACCGTCAAAGACAATTGTGAATAAATGCATTGCTGTTCTTAGATGTGTCGTGTTCAGCTATTATTATCAAGTGTGATGCTTATTCGTAATTTAAATTTGCTCTCGATCCTTGTGTGTTAACGTCAAACAAATATCATATTCGCACTATTATCCAAACTGCTACTCCACAAAAGACACATGAATATCGCAAGTCTCGAGGCACTCGCTTGTAATTCGTCTATTAGATCATAGTGTCAATGACTCACTAAATCGGAAAAAGAATCCTGTCCTCATGCGAGGATTGCGGCATAGAAAGGGCAGGTGGAGAAAAAGGGGAGATCACGAATTCTATTTGACATGGACATCAAGTAGCTATCCCAACTTCGTTGTATTACATTCGAGTGGAATATTCAAACGGCTATAGACTGGACGTTAAAGATTTCGCAATCTACCTGACGACTGCTACTTACGAATGCAGTCGCGAGTGTCAAAGCACGGCTTTCCAGTGGATCTCTTTGACACGCAATATTTTAGAATTAATAAACTTCATCTATCGTTCTTAGGCTTATGATCGTACCAAACGATGTCTCTGCAAAGACTCTGAGACTATTATTCACCACTATCGATATTCTAGTTATGTATGTGCCTATGATAATCATTACACGACACATCCTATCATCAATAAGTACAACAAAAATGCATAAGAAATAAAATTGAATATAAGGTATAGTTAAATAATTTTAACAAAATCGGCATAGCTAATCACGAACCATTCTAAATTTCTTTAGCCGATTTTTCAATCGAAATATTTTAAATCTGTGCTAAATTAGTCAAAAATGGTTCGAATCTCGGCCAAGACCAGAAATTATTTATATAAGTAAATTGTTTTCAACTTTGTACATGTTTTGTTTAAACATCTTATTATTTATACAAATAATTTTACACATTTAACTTCATATTCATAATCAACAAACCAAAAACGCCTATATCTTGTATTCAATTTTATTTTTTATGTATTTTTGTTGCACTTAATGATAGGAGTGAGAATATTGAAAAGCTATAAATTGCTCGTGAAACTCAAAGTGGACCAAAATGAAAAAATATGACCTAAATATTTTTTGTACTTCTACATTTGTGCCAAATTAGAAAGAAATCGGAGTGTAACTTTTGGGTAGATTTACTTGTTAATGTCTGAGTGAATAGACGGGAATATACAGAATAGAAGTGTGCGAATCATAATTTTACGCGATTAAATTAAATCTCAAAAAATATATTTAGATTCAAATCACGCGAATCTTCTCAGTTCGAAAGCGAAACGAATTCGAATCAAACTTTGCTGATTTAAACGATTTAAATAAATTATATATGTTCTTTTCAACCACAGATCAGAACTCTATTTTTCAAATAGTCGAGAAAGGGAAAAATTATATAGCTTCCTCTCTCTCTCTCTCTCTCTCTCTCTCTCTCTCTCTCTCTCTCTTTGAGATAATATTAGGTGAAGTAAAAAGTTCTGAGCGTTTTCCGCTAGATGTCTTTAGTGAGCCATATCTCACGATGTATACATCGCATCGGGTCATACTATACGGCGATTTAAAGGTGACATTACGCTTCAAAAAAAGTTCTGTAACAGTTTTGTGTTTGGTCAAGCCAGTTGTGTGTTACAGCGTTCCAAAATGGAGGTAAAAAAAGAGAAAATTCGATACATTCTTCAGTACCACTACGACCAAGGTGAAAAGGCGGAGCAGGCGGCCAAAAAAATTTGTGCTGTTTATGGACCCAATACAGTATCGAATGCAACAGCAAAGCGGTGGTTCCAACGATTCCGTTCTGGTAATATG